CTCGAACTTACTAAGCACCAATTTGAGCCTCATTTTTGGCTAAAAATACATTTTGGAATAGTAGTTTGATAGAGAATGTATATTAAAAATTAAGGAAAAAAATTAAATTTGCAAGTAATAATATTTTATTGAAAAATGTACGGTTGAAAATGAGAGAGAAAAATGTATTTTGAAAATATTGGGATCAAACACGGGTTAAACATCTTTCAAAATTTCTGCTTAACATTAGTCGACATCATGCATATAATGGTAGTCTGTCTAATTGGCCTTGAAATGGAAGTTTCTATAATTGCAACCCAGTCCTTGAACTTTTATAATACTTAGTTAGGTCCATGCTCAACCGAGTGATCGTTCACTTAATATTATTAAGTGAAATATTATTTAGCTCGAAACTCCTCAAATAATAAATTTCTTTCCAAAATTTTACTTATATTCCTGAACTTTTCAAATATCACAAGCAGGTCCTATATTACTTGTCGATTCTCAAATGACTTATATAGTCACTGACAACTCTGGATTCCATATACAGTCGACCATAATCCTATTTCTAAAAACTTTGGGCTTTGATCCCTGAAGAATTGAATGGATCTCAAATTGGTCCATTAGTTTCCAAACTCTGTCATTAAGTCACAAATAAGATTTAAGATTATAACAAATAGAGTACTCCTTTCTTTCCATGTATTTTGGGCTGTTACTATCTATAGCTCGATCCACAATAGTCTCTTGACTGACTCCATTTCAAATAGAAGCTAGCCCTACCGTCTATCCCATAACATTATTAAAGAAGAAATTAGTGTATTCAACTTGTGCCTAAGATTTTAGGTTGTTGTAGACGCACACAATGGCGGATCTAGGATAATAAGTCAGCTAGGGCGGTCGCTGAGCCGCAATAATAAATTTTTTATTGATATTTAATTAAATAATGTTAAAAAAATTTCAACCAATATATAAATGCACTAAAATGTGAAAAAATCATATACATTTGAAAATATAATCCGATACAATACAAAATAATAAGAAAAAAAAACATTTCTCAATCAGACATTTACGATCAAGTTTTAAGTTTTTTACGAACTCAAACGAAACAGTTTTACGTAAAGTATGATTAAATGGTAAAGACAAGCTCCGAGTTTGGGTGAAGGTTATGCAAAATTTTGAAAACAATGGTTTTTAAAACTAAAACTATTTTCGACCTCAAAAGAAAAAAAAAAGATTTTTCCAACTTTTAAAAGAATAAAGAACAATACTTAAATTGTCCAAATTCGAATTTTTTAAAATAAATTAATAAAACTTAACAATAAAAGTATATATATCATAAAGTAATAATTTGAGTCAATAAAGTTTTTTTAAAAACATATTTCGAAAACGAAAACTAATTATAATTGTTTAGTTATTTTTTATTGAATTAAAAATTTAAACAAAAAGTAGAAAAGCAAAGAATTGAACCCCATACAGCACAAAATAGTCTTTTTACCATATGAGCTACACATCTTTTGTGTAACATTGGTACAATTATTAATTAATATTTAGTTATTATTTACTGTGTTTAAAAATTGAAAGAGAGAATGTCGTTGAAAGTGGAGGTGTCAAGACGGATGGGCCGGCCTGACCCGTGAAAATCGGTCCGGATCGACCCGGGACCGCGGGCCGACCCCTGATCCGAGTGGGCTGTTCACGGGTCAAGGAGGTGTGACCAATGGGTTTCGCGGGTTGTACCTTCACGGATTGCAGTTAACCCGCTGGCCCGTGAAAAAAAAATTTTAAAAATTAAAAGAAAAAAAAGGATTCTAAGCATAATAACTCTAGTACAACTTCTAAAGACAAATCTTCTTTTTTTCTCCATAATAACTAAGAAACGTAATGTTCTTAGTTCTTCATCTACAACTCCAACTCCAACTGCAAATCCAAATACCACACCTGTTGAATTAGAAAGATATTATCAATTTGATCATTATAGTTTAATACTTGAAGATGAAGTGGATAATTTAGATATTTTACCATGGTGGAAATTAAATGAGCGGACATACCCTGTATTATCTAAAATGGCGCGAGATATACTAACAGTTCCAATCTCAACAGGGTATTGGACGAAAGAAAATTTAGATTTAAAGAAAATATTTTGGAAGCTCTCATATGCGTGAAATATTGGATATTCGCGGGTCGAAGGATGGAAGATAAAATTATTGATGATGTTGCTGAAAATTTCAAAAATCTTGTAGTTCCTGAAGATTGATTGAAAAACAAATATTAAAATATATAATTTTTGAACAACGAAATTATAGTTAAGGCTTAAGTAGGTGCCAACCTAGTTGGGATGTATTTAAACTATAAATTATAATAAAAGTAGGTGTCAACCTAGTTGGGATGTATTTATGTTATAAATATTTGATAATGGTAATTAGAAATACATTTAGTTGTTATTTGTTTAAGATAAATTTAATTTTGCAAAGTTATAAATAATTTATATAATATTAAATTTGAATTCTATGTAAACATTTCTTGGTATAAATATGAATTTATCATTTTGTTCAATTTTTAGTTTACATTTAACAAAAAAAATATTTTTTGCTATAAATATGAAAAATTCTATATTTTTATAATTTTATTTATACAATAATACGGACCACATCGGAACAAACCGCGACCCGTGACCCGCATGGGTCAGCGGGCGGGCTTGGGTTGTAATCCAAAATTTGTAGGCTGACTCGGAACCGAGCCGGAACCTATAGCGGGTGGGCTTTTTTTCACGCGGGTCGTTACCGGGTTCATATGTTGGCGAGCAGACCCGGCCTGGACCACCTGATTGACACCTCTAGTTGAAAGGAATCGAACCCATACCTCCAATTGCACAAAATGATACTTTTACCATATGAGCTACACTTCTTTTATTGAATGCAAGTACAATTATTAATTAATATTTAGGTATTATTTAATGTGTTTAAAAATTAAAAGAGACATTGTTATTGATGGGAATCGAACCCAAGAATCTCATGTGAAAAGGCGTCTACTTTGCCAAATGATCTACACACGATTTCAGTAGAAGATCTACAATAACATATATATGTATAATTATTGTTTATAAATCTTAATTAATTTTTTTCCGGCGGATCCAGCACAGGCGGCCTCCCCGAATTGTCGGGTGCTGGATCCGCCACTGGGCACATAATAAGCTGATTTATGACCAAATTTTTTTTTGAACTTTTTGAAAGCAAACATAATGAAATTGAAGTACTTTTTTTTTTACTCGAGACATTCTTGATACAAAAGCAAAATGATTTAATTCATTTAATAAGAGATTCTACATTTGTCTATATATTCACATCTTGTAAGTAAATTGTTGATAACCTATCACTAAACCCTACGATTCTTATCAATCTTCGATATTTTTTATATTTTTCTAATAGCATAATGTTGGAAAGATTCACAAAAATAAGCACATTGGAATAATGTCAATAAGAAAATAAATAAATTGTGGGAAAACATTGATTTACTTGTTTGATAATATGCTTACATCGAAGGGGTTAACTCTAAATCAATCTTTCACTATAATATTACAGGATTATAGAATTATTAGAAATTGAAAAAGATACTAAAATTGGAAACCTGCTATTGCAGGGAAGAAAATGATAAGCCGCTATTACAGTAGGGAAGAAGAATTAATCTATTCAACTTGAGAAATTACAATACATACTAATTTATTTATAGAGAAAAATCTAACAAACTATCTAACTATCTAACAACTAATAACAAACTAAAGAAGAAACTAGAAGAATCTGGAATAAGGAAGAAGAGGCTGGAAGGTGAGCTGTATATTCTAACACACCCCCCTCAAGGATGTAGCCAAGGTCTTTCACGGTTTACAGGAGGAACTGATGATTACATCTTCTAGAGGCCATAAACTTGTGGCTCTGGATCTTGCCTAAAAAGCAGCAGTTGCATGGCTGTTCTGCCAATACTTAAACTCAAAATATTACAAATCAGCCTTAGGTTTATTTCCTGCCATAATCTGGGATATGTGCGGACCCCTGCTAAATGCTTGATTGAATAAAATCCTTGTCTGCATGTTTTGGAACCCAGGCAACCATAATAGAAGGGCTACAGGTGCCATTACAATAACTCCAAACAAAATGTCATACAGACAAGGAACAGAAACAATGGCTCCCATAGTGCCGTTTTCTCCAAGAAGGGTCGCAGGACTTGAGCAACCAAATTAATTCCCCATCCAGTTGGAATGAAAGCCAATAAACTGGTGAAGAGAAAATTCCAGAACAAGGCTGGATCTGAAGCCAAAGTTATCTTCAGATTTGGTATGGGTTAGTAACCATGAATTATCATCCATAACAGGAGAAGAAATAGACAATGGAATCGGAATAAATTCCATGAAAACATCTTTAGTACAAAGCTAGAAAGAATAGAAGAAAGGCCTCTGGTAATTGATCTAGGAGGCAGGAAAATCTAAGGAATGATACATTCCAAACACTCATCAAACCTAATAGCACTGGTAAATTCTTCACAAAAGGTGCAGAATAGAAGTGTTGATCAATACTTGAAACTCCCTTTAATAACTTCTCCACGACTGAAAATCCATATTGCAGAGAAAGAGGTGCATGGAAAATGAACTAAATCCGTCGCCAATAACTCATTAATGAAGAAGAATTGAAATGAGATCCATAAATGGAAAACATCAACAGATGAACTTGAAACCAAAAAATATGGATGATTACGAACACGCAATTCATCCAACAAGTTCTTTGAAAGTTTGCTGGTAGTGCTTTCGGCTACCCTCAATCCTCAAAATAAGAAGAAATTCATTCCGACATTTCTTCGAGCATCTAGTGAGCCAAGCTACTATCCTATTTTGTTTAACAAATTGAAGTCTTTTCTAAACCTGCAACAACTAGTCACCCACATCCAAATCCATACACCAATCTGAATTCGTATCCAGGCCTACATTCTGCAGTTAAATCTTACTGTTTGTACATCAATCGGAAGTCGTGGCTATGGCATTTTCTGGAAGCAGGAGTGAGGTTCAGAATTAAAGAGTGAAATCTTGATGGGATTAACAATGAAGATTCATTTGATAATCCATTTACAGTGGAAAATGCTTTCCATTCCCTCTGATTTGAGGAAAAAAAATGTTTATTGAAGGATTATGACATTTTCAATGTATAGAATTTACAGAAGTGCAGTGCTGTTGCTCTGGATTTTTTTTTTTTGTTTTTGTTTGGAGATGAGATTCTGCTCTGATACCATATTAAAAATTGAAAAAGATACTAAAATTGGAAACCTGCTATTGTAGGGAAGAAAATGATAAGCCTGCTATTACAGCAGGGAAGAAGAATTAATCTATTCAACTTGAGAAATTACAATTAGAAGAAACTAGAAGAATTTGGAATGAGGAAGAAGAGACTCGAAGGTGAGCTATCTATTCTAGCAAGTATTTCTCAAGATAATATTAGAGGTTCAAAATATCATAAGAATTTAACTATTCTCAGTTTACCAATAATTCATCAAAGATCAATGTTTTTAATTATCTAAATAAATTTTTTTTTGGACACAGGTAGATCTAAAATTCCTAAGTATATGACATTTCATTCATATCACGAAGTGTTAAATTAATTTTTTTTTTTTTTTGAGGCTCAACCATTAGAATTTATTGAAAAAACGTACTATTCGAACTTCAGGTCTCCTAGTAATGCTATAACGAAAGTCTAATAACCCGTTCTTCAGGCTTTTGAAAAAGTCAAAAACTGTTTTTAAGCATGTATGAATAATTTTCTAAAAGTACTTTGTTCGGTTATGAGAGTTTTTAAAGAAAAAATGATCTAAACCCACAAAAAGTAGAAGCAAAGTAAAAATCATACCAAATGGATCCTAAATCTCAATCTAGTGGCTCTAGTTTCTAGTTATCCTCTCATTTCTCCACATTGGTTAGGAAAAGGGGTAAATTTGTGGGGGTATATGAGTTAAGACACTTAAGCGAGTGTGCAATGTAATATTTAATATAAATTATATATGAACACTGAGGCATCAATAAAAATTTTACCGTAAAGATGATGACACAATATTGTTCATTGTAGAACAGAAGCAAAGTCTCATTTTACTCAATACAGAATTGAAAGTTGTTACGTACCAAACATGACAACGTCTAATCAACGATTTTGATTTTTGACCTATGAAAAAAGATAACACAGTACCCTTTGCATTGAAGAGATACATATCAAAACCTTAGCCCCCATCTTTAAAATTCGGGAGGAAATATTCAAATGGGCATATCAAAAGATGTATATCAAGGTGTACATCACCTCACATGGAGGGGCCCACTTGAATAAAATATTCAAATGGGCCCCTTACCCATGTGAGGGGGGTGTACACCGTGATGTACACCCCGATGTACCTCTAGCATTGCTCTTCAAAATAAGATCCCTACAAACTTTATCTCCTCTCTACTCATTTGAAATTCAAAAACTCTAAAAATAATTAGCCCCCAAGAAGAATAAATTTTGCGTTATCGGAACTCCATTTATTTGAATTTCTTTTGTATTTACTTTTTTCCAACATTTTTTTATTGTCTTAGTTGCACTATTGTAGGTTGTATTCATATTTAGATGAAGGATGGTACTCAGTGATAGTGGATTGCTCATCATTTTGGTCTTAAACGATTACAACTCTTTAAAGGATAATTTAAAAAGGTATTCGAGACTTTTTCTCAACGTGAATAGTTTTTCACATGAAATACATAAATTTTGATCTTTAGTATTAATCACTTTTGTCTATTTAATTACACTTAGAAAAACATATTCTCTCATATAAGAAAAATATATAAAAAGTTAGGAGAGTTGTATTAATTGCAAAAGTTAGCATTTTACGATGTTAATTGACGACAACAATACCCTATCTGTGGTCATGTTTCCAACACACATAAATTATGCCCCCTATTTGGTTTGACTAAAAAAGTGAATTAAAATTAACAATTAACAATTAATTTTAATCATATATTATTCTATTCATAACTTTTCAATTACACATATTAAAATTTATTAAAAATCTGATTTTTATTTAAATAAAACAAGGTATATAACTTTAAATAAAACTTCAAAGTGCAATGATATCAAACAATATCATTCTTGAAGGATGATATTTACCATCTCCAGCTCTCTCACTTGGCTCCAAAAGGACAGGTGTCTTAAAGGACTACTGTTTGAAAGGGGACATGTGTCCTATGCCAATACCTCAGCAAATTAAGCTCATCCGTTTTAGGCAAGCAATGTCAGCTTCTAGCCCAGTTTCTGAAAAATCAAGTTTTTCCACATGAATTTCCTCTTTATTAGGCGTTTAAATTCTGGGTTTATTTAATTCTGCAATTAGATAGCACACATGTTGCTTTAACAAATTATATGTTCCTTATGGTTTTCTTATCCACCATTTTCCGAATATTATTTGTTTATTAATATACAGTGCCATGCATGGACTAGAAAAAGTAAAACTCGAGCATCAGTTCCTTCTCCAGAGCAGCAAAATGCTCCCACATCTGTCCAGGAGAATGAAGCTGGCAGATCTTTAAGGCCACGGAAAAATAAAAGAAATGTATTTCGGCTAGTAGATGAATTTGATGACGAGGTCCCTGGTGACTGGAAATTTCCAGCTGAATGCCCTAACAGTTCTGTTGTAGGTGAGGAAAACATTGCTGGCAAAGAATTTCAAGTGGAAAATGAATCCCAGACAAAAAAGGCGAAGAGGAATTCCGTGAAGCCCACTGGTGATAAAGAAAAACCAGCTGGAAAGCCGAAGACGGCTAAGGAAACATCAGATCAGGCGGCAAAACCAAAACCTAAAAAGTTCTCTCACTCTACCCTTAAGCGAAGACGAGGTATATTTTGCAAGATCTGAGTGTTTGAGAGCTACAGCATATTTTGTTTCGTTATTAGGTGTTGACCAGGAAGTTTTACGGTTTATAGTGGACAAGGTTTTGTTAGAAACTCCTGAGGATGAGATTGACTTTCAAAAGGTGCTTTTTAGGGATTTAATTTTGCTTGCGGAGCACAAGGAGCAGCTGAAGGTATTTTCTTTTTTTGTTTTATAGAAGTAGCTACAGTTCTAGTAACTGTAGCAGCAGTACTACTACTACTACCACCACCACCAATCATAATCACCACTTTAACTATGCACGTTTCCATTTCTGATCTCTTATTCACCATAATGCAGAAAAAAGAGGCAACAACCGGAGTACCCTCTACAAATCAGAGATAACGACGTTTTCATAAATTATCTGCTGTGTTCAACATGAAGCTTTCCTTATCCTTAGTGCAATGACTTCGTTTTATCTTTTGTTATACTGTTACTAGGATGCCAAATTGATACTTTCCCATGTGCCTCCTAATTCTAAGCCAGTTCTCTTTGCATTTAACACAAAAATGTCTATGCCCTTACCAATGAAGAATGTATGGTATAATATGTTACAGGAAAAATATATTCTCTGTTATATATCGGGTCCTTATAGTAAGCAGAAAAGGATACGTAGGTGAAATGATTGCTGGTCCAGTGAAGATTATTAAATGATCAATTTCTGGAGAAATTGTCCGTGAGAATGCAGTATAGTGTTTTACATGTTGGCTTTGTTAAATTTCAAAATTATAAAACACCAACGTTTCTAACCTTATCTAAAATATGTAAATATTAATGATCACATTTTACCTGCAATCACTCAATTTATAATCGGTTCGATCCTCAATCATAGACTCGAGAACCAATTGTTTTGGTACGATTCTAGCTACAAATCTACTTTTGATTGGGTTCCAAAAATATTTTTTTAAAATCTTTTATTAAAACCGTAATTTATATAAATTCAGAGTTATTCAGAATAATTGAGTATGTTATTCTCTAAAATGTAAATCATGAAAACGAAATAAGAAAATTTACGCGATAATTTAGACTTTAACATTTATTTTTGAAGCATAAAAAATCAAACTAGAATCAATAGTTTAATGAAAAAATAGGGACCTCATCTAACCAAATAGGTTCTTTGTTCGTAGAACTTCTATTTTTACAATTTTTGATCGGAATCGATTTAAAAAATTGTTAAGATATTCAGACTGAACCATCCAATACCCAACTCATACCAATGACTCTTTTTTCCTTTTTCCTTCAATTGAAATATGAACAGGGAATTTATGAAGACATCTTCTATAAAATAACTACTTATACCATAGAAGTCAATAGTGCCACTTTACACTTTAGAGGATTGAATTGGAGATTTTTCGAAATGAGGACTATATTCAACTAAAAAAAGAAGAAGAAGATAATAGTAGGTTGAACGGAGAAACAAATGAGAACAAGTATCAGGGTCAATCCTTCGATTTTTGCGTTCTCTTTGAATTGATCAACCAATTCAATGTAATCTGTAAATAGAAATCTATAAGTTATTTTCTTCAATTGCTCCAAGATCCGGGCTCAGTTAATCTCCAAATAACACCACAATTAACCAATAGAACCACAAACCAACACTTCAATCTTGTGATTTCCGGGCTCAGCTAACCAATCAATCAAATACCACAACTAACCAATCGACAATCACAAACCGGCACCTCCCAAACACATACTTGGTTGCTCCAATTTGTACAGCCCACAAAGGACTAAGGGTGAGAAATTTCAGCCAAGAAAATAACCACAGAGGCTCATCGGTGAAGAAGAAAGGGACAGTTTTCTCAAGGGAATGGCACACAGCCAAAGTACACAAAGCAAGAGACAAGAAACTGGTTCTCTCAACTTCTCAAAGGGGCGGCTGCTTGAATTTTTCACACGGTAATAGTAGTGGACAACCAAACTAAATACATTAGGAATAGGTCAGGCTTTTAGGTCAAAATAATAGGCCCAATAGAAACGAGATAAGTGGACTAATACCTTAAATCCATCCAAGTCATTCGGGTTGGGTCATGAGCAACACTAATATAATTAGACTGCTTCAAATGACCCAAGTGGGTTACGTGATTCGATTGGTTCGATTATGGTGTCGACATTTCACTTTACTCATCGGCTGAGGCCTATGCAGTATAATCCAACTAAAACTGATTTAACATTATAGCCGGGATTTATTGGGTATCAAAACCCAACAAATCTCCACTTCGATTCCCAATAAATCTGCAAGCAAACAAAACACATAGTTCATACTTGCATAATCAAGATGACCAATAAAATTGGTATCACAGACCTTACCTTGTATTTCGAACGTGAAACACATATCATACCTGCTCCATATACTCACCAGGGCTAAGATCAAGAACACCCAAGTAGAAGCAAATAATCACAGCAATCAATTAAGTGCAAATAAACATGCGATGGAGATATTATATAGGATAACACAAATCTTTTCAACCATGTTCACATAGAACAATAGATTAACACCAAGTCAATCAACAGGCCAACACATGCACAACAAATGCATAAATAATCTCACGAAGATCTCACCACACTTATCCTATCCCATTCCGTGTTGCTCACACCTCGAGAACATATATCTCACCTCATCGCCTACAATTCTCACTAGACTAATCACTCAAAAACACACATGTCTAACTGGCAACTCTCTATAGATCCTAAGTTCTCGAGATAATCCTCTATCACCACATCACTCATCCAACCTAAATGGATAATGGGTCTCCACCTAACAGAAGTAATAGAAGTGCCTAACTCCCACTCCACCTGATCAGGGTCTCTTACAGATAAAGGATTCAAAACATTTGATCACATCTTCGCCGTGATCTAAATGTCACACTCCACATCCCACGGTACAAACCACAATGTACTCCTAGACATCTATACTCCACCTTATCAAAAGACATACACACTGTTAATGTATCCTAAAACCCACTATACATGTAAACACATTACACAAAGTGATAAAATCACTTCAATTCATACAAAGCACATATCAAACACATTGAAATGCAACATATAATCATGCAACCGAATTGAGCAATCACACACATGCAGAAAGGATTACACACAGATGCAAATGCAGTAATTAGGGTAACACTCAATAGGGTTCACTAGGGTCATCACTCGACCCTAAAACCAGATTCGTCTCGCTTCTCAGCTTACCTTTCTTCTTGGGACAATCCCTAATAAAGTGTCCAAACTTACCACAACTGTAACATCGTCTACCACCGGACTTGTCCCAACTTTTGCTCTTCTTCTTACCACCATCATCACTCCAGTCACTACTCGAATCACCACTATCTTGAGCTCTACCCAAACTCATCTGCTTAAACTTCATTCTATTCCTCATAATATACAACTCACCATTTCTCTTACCTTCTTTTTCAACCTTAATCTCCATATCCTTACTCATAAAGGAATCTATGACAATCTCAAGAGTTAATGTGTCCCTACCATACTTAATAGCATTTTTAACTTCACGATAAGTATCAGGTATAGTATTCAACAAAATAATAGCCTTGTAGGTTTCAGACACCGACTCTCCACAGTTAACAATATCTTGAACAAGTTTGTTAAACACATCTAAATTGTCATCCAAATCTTTTGAAAAATCCATTTTGAAACTGAAAAAATACTCAAATAAGTAAAACTTGTTTGGAGTAGATTTAAGTAAATACAGTTCTTCCAATTTTTGCCAAAACACTTTAGTGGTTTTCAGTTTGTCCACTTTTCTCAAAACTGCGTCAGCCAAGTGTAAAATGATAGAGGTATAAGCAAGCTCATCAATCTCTTCTTTTTGTTCTTTTGAAAAATCAGCGGGAAAATTGCCATCAATGATTTTTGAAACCTTTTGTTGAACCAAAATACCTCTCATTTTTTGTTGCAAAATAAAAAAATCACATTTTCCACTAAAAACTCCCAAATCAAAATTGTGCGTTGTCATTTTCAAACAAAAAACACAAGGTCACGATTAAGCCACACAAAGTAGACATAAGTTCGCAAATATACACCGTTTTAGATTCCCAGGGTTTCGTAAGATTCACGATCTTAGATCAATGGAATTTTCAAACGGGGTGAGGTCTAGGTATTCTATCAACTTATCAATGCAACCAGAGAGATAATAACAAAACAGTTTCACTCACTGTATATCACAAACGATAATATTCTTCAATTGATCAAAAGAGTAAATTTCAATCACGTAGCAAACGAAGAGCAAATAATTCCTAATTTCTAGCACAAGTAATGGTTAATGGTAACCCCAATCTTAATGTCACTTTACACGATGACGTGCTAATGCTGAAATTTAAACATGATAAGCCAATTTACCAGAGCGGACTTATCCGAGTCCGTAAATTTCGAGAAATATAATTTTAACACTTTAGGGCCACCACTATTCGCCCTAAAGTTTTCAACAACTGCAGCAACCAATTGAGCGAAAAATGAATTACGAAAGCATGGGCAAAATTGTCTACCTTTTTCTGCGTAACCTGAAACACGAAAACAAGAATATTAGTACATTCAGGAAATCAAAGTGAACAAACTGCCTGAAGGAAGTTTCGCCAGGAGCCCCACGCGCCGCCAACCCCTCTGCGCATGGTGTTCACGCGCTGCCGCCGACCTCACGCGTTGGTCACCTACCAGCTCCTCGACCTGCTGAACACGCTGGTGGTCTTGAATTTTCCAACAGATCACTGGTTTGGCCGGAAAGTTGAATTGCAGGTTCGATTTTTGAATAAAAAACTGGACAGTTTTCAGCTCGAATTGTTTCTGCTGATTTGGTCGATTTTTGGCCTGAAAGTCACCCCAACCTTGCTCCGATACCATATGTAAGTTATTTTCTTCAATTGCTCCAAGATCTGGGCTCAGTTAATATCCAAATAACACCACAATCAACCAATAGAACCCCAAACCAACACTTCCCAAACACAAATGGTTGCTCAAATTTGTACAACTCGAAAAGGACTAAGGGTGAGAAATTTCAGCCAAGAAAATAGCTATAAAGGCTCACCAGTGAAAAAGAAAGGGACGGTTTTCTCAAGGGAATGATGCAGCCAAAGTACACAAAGCAAGAGACAAGAAACTGGTTCTCTCAACTTCTCAAAGGGGCGGCTGCTTGATTTTTTCACACGGTATTAGTAGTGGACAACCAAACTAAATAGATTAGGAATAGGTCAGGCTTTTAGGTCAAAATAATAGGCCCAATAGAAACAGATAAGTGGGCTAATACCTTAAAGCCATCCAAGTCATTCGGGTTGGGCCATGAGCAGCACTAATATAATTCGGGTTTATGTATAATATTATTTTATTAAAAAATG